TCCCAGCCTGATATGCCTTTTAAACGAATGCCAGCTGTAAAGAGGAAATTACTTAAAATGAAAGCAGGAGCCATTTTGTCTGTTCTGTTATTCATTGCCTAGAATTTTCTGATATGAGAGCCTATGGGTTCCTACTGCTCTGTTAGCCCACTGACTTATTACAAGAGCAAAATGTAGATTTCTTGGGCACATACCTAAAGTAACTTGCAGCCACAAGATCTTCCAACAGCCCTTTACCCACAAGTCTCTAAGTTGTGTGTATTTTGATCCCCATCTGTAAGTTTCCCCTCACCACACCTACCCTTACAGACACACCTGCTACCACTGCTGTTGCTCAGCCTGCATTTCTTTGGCCATCTTCACCCATAACAGATCCCCTGAAAGAAGAAATAAGCAGTGCTGCTAGGGTGACACAGAGCTATGAGCACAAGGGATATTCACCCACCTTACACTTCCCACGAGAAAGCTTTAGAGTCAGCAGGTCTTTAACCTTTGTAGACCTGAAAAGTGGTGGCCAGAAGCCACCTGTCCTGAGCCCCTCCAGCAACTCCTCATCCCTTTCCTAACTCAAAGTGGTAGCAGCACAAGAAGCCCAAGGTCCCATGCCACATGGGATGCGTGTGGAAGAAAACACACTGGAGTTGATAGGCGTTACAGTGCTCTTGTGGTTTAGGGAGATCAGTAGAGCCATGACAAGGCTCACTTTAAGCTAGATAGTAGAGAGATTCAGATACAGCTAATTTGTGGGCACCACAGAGCTGCTTGGCAAACCCTCAGTGGGATTCCCATGGGGCTAAGCTTGATGGACATGTTTCTGAAACAGCCTATGCTCTGCACTCCCTGCAGAGGCTGCTCAGATCCTGCACCTTCCTGCTCAGGCTAAAGGATTAAGACAAAGCTTTCTGAACAACTTTGTTGCTGGAGTCCGGTCACATCCCGAAACAGTATTCCCAAGGTTAGATTCATAATTGTGCAGTATAACAAGCACATGTGGAGATGTCTATGATTTTTTCCCCCTCTTCCTCTGGGGCAGTTCACTTCAACATAGCTTGGGCAACAAAGGCTCTGCATAAGCTCCATGACAAAGTACAAAGGCTGGTTGAGCATCTGGGCATGCCTCCATATACATAAAGCCAAATGCCTGGCTATCAGTCACACTTGCACACCCTTTGTTAGTTCTGGCTCGGTCATGGAGAGCTGAGCAAGGAAACATCCAGCTCTAGAGCCAGACCAGCTCCCCCCACCCTCTGTGCGACAGGAGGACAGAACAAAGTATGATGGTAACTGGGAAGGGAAGGCGAGCTCACAGCTGGTGTGAATGCAGGGGCCAGCAAAGGGGCTGCTTGGAGCCTCATGGCCAACCCCACCACTGTAATTCCAGAGCAGCAACTGGCCATGCACAACATTCCTGCCCTGGCTTAAATTCAATTACTCAAATATTTTGAGTACATGTTCTCACCACCTGCTCTGTGACAAAACGTGGATCTTCCTGGCCTGTTCAGTCCTCTGCTTGATGTCATGGCCTGTGAATCATCCTTGCTGTTTTTCTCTGCAAACTAAGCAATTCCTCTTACAGTTATTTACTTAGGATGGTTAACGCAACAGGGCTAATGTCAAACCAAGATACCTTTCTGCTTGAACAATTTGGAACTTGCAGGTAGTCTACCTCCACAGGTTACTTAATTATTCACTCCAGCGATATTCAAATCCTTCATCACAATAATGCATACTAAATAGGACCATGTTTCCATGTTCTGGGAGCTGTAAAGTTGTCCGAACATATGCAAAGAGAAAACTTTTGTGAGCAAAGTCCTCAGTTTATCCAATACATCTGTTCAGCACTTAAGGAGACTTATAAGCTGTTAACTGCCTTATTTTTGGACAACATAGCCAAAATATAAACTACTGAATCCTATGTCATATAAGGTCTAGGTAGACTTATGTTGCTGTGTTAATCCAGTTGAAACAGGTATGTAGAGATGAAATGAGGACTCAAGAGTCCATAGGCACTGTTTCACTTTCAAATTCTATTCTTAGTCTTACAAACATTCTACAGCTCACCAGTAGCTGCCTGCACCCATCAGCTCACCCACTCAGTCTTCAGCCTTGCGTGACTCCTGTTGTGAAACTAACTCTGCCAGCAGCACAGGGAAACAGGAACACAGACATCACCTCATAGAGTAGTTTCTTTCCACTCATTGTATTCCAATACAGTTTAGGAAGTTTACAATGATTAATATCAGCCTGAGAATGAAGTTGAACAACCCCCCGCCCCCCCCCAACATTTAAAGCCACAGCAAGTTGGTTGTTCCTGCTTATCTCTAGAGGGTTACAGAGTTATCTGAAAATTAGAGCTAATGGCAGGTATGTGAAAGAATGGCTCCCTTCAGTGTCAGTGTAATGAATGTGCCATAGCAGAAATGTTTTTACGCCAACTCGTGTTTGGGCATTTTCCCCTGTGGACTCCCAGGGAAGAGGGTAAAGGACATAATGTGTTATTCGACAGCTACAGATGCTAGCTGTTCAGACACTCTAGCTACTTGTGTCACTAGATGAGGACCTAAAACCTCAAACAAAGCAAATGCTTCTGTCTGCCTGGAACTGCTCCCTCCAGCAGCCCTGCTGACAGCAGGCAGGTCTGGAACCAGCGGTCTTGGCCTGAAAAGCAGATTAGTTCAGCATTTGGGTACCTAATTTATTTCCTAAGTCTCAACGAGAGGGCAGCACAACATCCTCTGATTTATAGAAAGACAGGATTCCCCAAGACTGGCAACTGTTTATTTCAAAGTTATTTTCTAAAACATTTACAAACTTATTTTAAAAGCCTAATCTACCCTATCCTAACCTTAAATACTAGTTGTGCTTTATAAGACTGCTACCATTTGCCATGTATTTACGAGTACTTGTGCATGTACTGGATCACCCAGCTTGCTGACAAGCCAAGCGATGTGATGATGTTCAATTTTTCTGCCAATGGAGAGTATCACTTCCAAGGTAAGAGTAATGACACCACCACCAGGATTAAGAAAGATTAAAATTTTATTAATCTTAAGAGTTAGTAAAAAACAGGATAAGCAGATTTCTTGGAAAAACTACTCAAAAAGGAACTTGGTTTTGGCAAGATCAATGAAATATTAATGTCAAATATTGAGAAATGGAAGTCACATGTCAAGTTTGGGGGGACAGTGTTACTGATTCTGCCTTGTATAGTCAAAAAATTATTTTTTTCCTCAAACAAATGTTCAGAAAATAGTTTTTAATTCTATAAAAATATCCATCATGTGAAAAATTCTTAAGAGTTACTTTCTGTAAAAATATCCTACTTCATATTCTCTGTGTTTGTAAGAGTTTTAAAAAAATCTATTGCCAGTTAGGTGACTTTGAGGTCTAAATGTACATGCTTGAAGTCTGAACTTTGGCTTCAGTAGGTGCAAACATACACCCCTTTGGATGTATCCATTCCAGGACAGTTGCACAGACGTCATTGTCCCCACCAATGGGTTTTTAACCCAGGCTGTAGTTTGGCCTTCACATTTTTCCTTGTCATCAGACAAGTGCTAGATGCAGTACTGCGTACAGGTAAGAGGGCCAGTTCTCAGGGACTGTGTAAGGCCACCTCCACAACAGCATGGAATGGAGCCAGAGCTGGCTTAGAAACCTTTTCAGGGGCTTTGCTTTGTGCTTTTTGCTCCACATGGTAGGTACTGCAGCAGCCTGACTATAGCTGTGATTTTTCAAATATTTAAATAAAGCCAAGCTTGTAAATAGCAAGTGGGTTGTTGAACATACATAGTTGGAAGAGAGTTGGGTGCATGAACCCCATGGATCTGCAATAACCTTAAGGGCACCAGCCTTCATGCTCTGAAGGCTGCACGTGCTACTCATTAAAAAACTCTGATTCTGACTGGTTATTATTATCAGATTATTCACTTCTGAGTAAATAAGATGATTTACAAGGAAAGCCCAAGTGGTTTCCTGGCAAAAAATTTTTCACTACAAGTGACTGTCTCCTAAAGCCGCTTGTGCATCTGTGAACAGCCAGCTATTGTTTTGCTGATCCCGAGCAAACTGTGGTCAAAGCAGAATGGCTTCATCCTTTCTTTGGAAAGGATTGTGCCACTTTAAGAACACTAAGTGGGAGGTGATATAGGCATCACTGTACAAACAAGTACCTGTGCACGCTGCTGCACTCACCTGCACCTCGCACAGCTGAGGGAACGCTGCCCTCGCCCTCCCTGGTTTCTCTGGCAGGTTGAACACCTCCTTCTCTAACACGCAGTCTTGCTGCCTGTCAGCAGAGGATGGACGTCCAAACAAAGCCACTCGACTTTATCGGCAAGACTTGCAAGATGCCTTGAGGACACCAAGAAGGTAAGAGTGGACAGAAAAGAGCTGAATGCCTACAGGACCACACAAGCTTTAGAGAAAGCCAGAACTTATTTCAGGCAGTCAACCTGAGAAAGGTGCAAACATACAAATCAAATTCAACCCTTGCTGGCCTTTCTGCAAAAATAAGGAGATAGCTAAATTATTTCTAATTTGGTTAAGAGGTTGTCAGCAAGGACGGGATGAAGAGGAAAGTATAGAGTTACTATTCATGTAATTTATTTTAAGTTCACTAATATCAAAATAGTTAGCTAAATGGTTATAGAGTTATGCCTGCAAATGCACTGCATAAGGCAATCTTATTTTCCTTTTAAAGTTAACAGACCCTCAGCTTGTATAAGTTTATTCAAAAGTGTTTATAGACTAAATATTTCAGAACAGGAAATGTCTATTTGACTCCTAAGTGTATATAACCCCTTATATTCAATATATTCAAGAGTCAGAAAACTAATAGATATACACCAGGATCTCTAAGATA